AAACGTGATGACGTCATATTCTGGTTTCCAAAATTCTAGCTTGAGGAATTAACTACCTAAAAGAAAAGACTATTTTTCGGGCGCTCAGTATGTCTCATTTAGGTAGCTGGGTGTTTATTTTGACCCAAACCACGAGACTGGAAAACACAAAAAATGACACTCAGGTTTAGATGTTGAGTTTGGTAAACCCAAAGTAGGACTGGTGCGGGGGTCATAAAAAATGCCGGGGTTAAAAATAAACTCACAGCAATAAAGAATAATTATTAATTTTAATACGAATTCAGTGATAAATGCAATGACTGACCGTGCAAAGATTCTGGGTCTGTCGATAGCTTTCGCACATAGTTTAAGCAACTTGCAGGATGTCATAAAAGAAAAAAAATACAGGGTTTCTTTTTACCGCAAGAATAAACTAGGCATCGCCGAACGCTCATTCTCCGCCCATAGGTAGCGCTAGAGGTACAACCGGATGTCAAAGATTCAGCCCAATACGATACCTTCTTCAAAAATGATAAGTAATTTTCTGAAAAGTTCAATGGGAAAATAGCGGCCGACGGAGTTTTCGAAAACATGGCGCTCTATGGGCACCAGACACGAAAAACAGGCAAAAAGAGGCTCCAATACCCCCATTGGAATTTTCAGAAAATCACTTATAACTTTTGAATAAGGTGTCCGTTCGGGATGAAACTTTGGCATCTGGTTGTGACCTAGCGCTACCTTTGGGCGGAGAATGAGCGTTAGGCAATGCGTAGTTTATTTTTGCGGTAAAAAAAAAGAACCTTGTAAATTGTTTTTGTGACATCCTGTGCCAGTCTTAATTTGGTGATTCTTGCGCCCAAGTAGCGGTGTGCAAAAATGAAAACGATGCAAACGGGTAGGCTTTGACGTTGTATAAAATATAGTGTAAGCACGCAGATGGTACGCTGATTAAGAATGAAACAGTCCTACGTTTTACACTAGCGTTGAGCGTGTCGAAAGTTAAGGGTGCATCAAAAGCTAAAGCTTGTACACATATACTGCTCAGGCCATTGTGTTTGAATGCTCATAGTAATTTACTAACCTCAGATTTGGTGTAAGTTGTCTCCTGATTGCTTACAACAAAAAGAAGAAAACATTCTAACTCTGGGTTAGTAGAAAAGCTCCACCTGCTGACGGTCACCAATCATCTCGGCGCCGATTATGAGTATTCACTGCATGCCAACGGTCGCGTGCTTAGAACGAGTTTTTCCCACGTGTTTTCATACGATCGCAATTGTTCTTGTCAAACAACAATGTTTAGAAATTACAGAGAAGATGCAAGCGAGCTGGTGAACTTTCAACATTGTAAAACCCGAGACGTAGGACAAAAGGAGAAGAAAAAAGGGGACAACACAGACACAGGTCTCAAACCTGTGTCTGTGTTGTCCCCTTTTTTTCTTCTCCTTTTGTCCTACGTCTCGGGTTATACAATGTTGACAATGTTTAGTCAGGCAAGCGGTCATATGTGAAGCTTAGAATATTTTCTATTGGTTGTGGCACACGTGGCCAGTTGCATAGGTTTTTTTGTTTTTCTTTTTTTTTAGAATCCGCGAAAAAGAATGCCCTTGGGTTACCTTGGTCTCTAATAATTCATGTAGCACACAAAAGAGCACGAACTGAATCGCTGTGGGAAACGAAAACAATAATGATAAACAAGCGTGTAATCACGCGAAAACTGAGGGCATTGCACATATACAGAAGGTAAGCTTTGTCTCACTAAATACATTACCAATAAAGTATTTGGTTGTATCCTGCTAGCGAAGCGGAACATACAGTGCGAGCATACTGTCCTGAACTACACTTCCAGCGAACAAGCGCACCATCCAAAGCACCGAGCTCGCTTTTATAGCGTTTGGTGCGCTCAACGATCCCCCACTGGAACAAGCGCACCATCCAAAGCACCGAGCACGCTTTTATAGCGTTTGGGGCGCTCACATCTTTGAAAACACAATTATAATCAATTCTATCATTTCAATTATTTTTATTAAGTGCGCCTATGCGTTTTTCTTTTTTTTTTTTTTTTTTTTGCTTTTATGTTCACGTGCCATTTTCCTTAGTTATATAATATTTTTCCAGAGGTCTGACAACTATAGTCTGTTTCATTATAAGTAAGAGCCACATAATCAAAGATGGAGACAAAAAATAAAAATAAAAAAGAACGCGAACACACATTAAAAATGCGATGTAACGGCGCATTCAAAATTAGTCGTTAGTTTTTTAGAGAGCAGCAATTTCGTAGGACGACATTGTTACCCGATGAAGGTTATAAAAAGTGCGGTGCAACTGTTAGCTCGGGGTCTTTAACGTGCATTACGCAGTATATGTGATACACGACCGCATGACCGTAGGATGCAGATGGGCGACTGAACCCAGGGTCCCTGCTAAAGCCCCTTGATAAAGGCGTTTTTTACAAGAACCGCCAACCATTATTGTGAAAACGCGCGAGACACGTGCCACGAGCCGGCGCTCCGCCCCCATTCGCTTTCAAGGGCCAGTCATTATACACCCGTGCCCACGGTGCCCGTGCCACACGGGCAACTCGAATTCCATTTACAACGAATGACATTTGAAGGATCGGACAATCAGCGCGCGACACTCCGAACGTGGGGCGTTCCACGCGCGACAGATATCGAGCCGATTCGTTGATCACATGAATGTCATTCGTTGTAAATGACATTCGAGTTTCCCGTGTGGCACGCGTGCCACACGGGCAACGAATGTATTTGTGCTGCGTCGCCATTTGTGTCCAAGGGCCGGTCGAGACACGGGCCTCGTGCACTGGCACCTTTGAGGTTATTTGAAAGACCAACGCAAATACATCGAGGGGATTTAGTCCCTGGACGCTCTGCAGCGGGAGCTCGGTGCTTTGAACGGAGCTCGCACTCGAGCATTTCTCCACGTGCTCTGATCTGCGGTGTCAGAACACACTCGGCCAACGATCCCCAACCGCACTTGATTTATCCTGTGAGCTAGACCAAATGAGCTACACTTAGAGTATCGGCAATTCTTCCCCCAATATTGTTTTGGGCGCCGCCATGCTGGTGGTTAGTAACAAATCAAATGCAACTGCCGGTCGTCATGATTCAGAAGTGCGACTTCCTCAGCAATAGTTTCGGTGTCAGGAAGCTCACGTAATATTGCTTTGCTTTGTCGCCAACTGTTTAAACATTTGTGGAAGACGGAAAAGCGTTTCCTGTGATTTCAGATAAAGCTTCAGATAACTGACAACCATCATTTTAAGCATCCATATCTGTATGAAGCGTAGCTTATTTAGTGGGTCTAGTTTAGCCCGACCGCATAGGCACAGAAAGAGAACGAACAGCTTAACTTCGCGCTCTTGGCGCTGCTTCAGTGGCTTCATCAGCCCGTAGCGTTGGTTGCGCTCCGAACTAAGGTAAAGCAAAGCAAATATTCAGATCTTAGGGTTTCACAAGCCAAACCAACAAAAAGCACTTAACACGCCCAAATAAAAAAAATGATTTCGGGTTTATTTTGACTAACCGTAGATCTTTTCACATGCAACCGAAATCTCAGATCGGCCTCCGTCGGATTGCGGGCACCTCGGCCGATATTTAAACCCGACAAGTATAGATTCATAGGCCAGCGCGTTGGCTGAGAGGAACTGAGACGTTTCAATGTCATTGCCACTTAAAGGGACCATGAAATGATTGTAAAATCGAGTTTCATCCACCGCACGTCGTAAAAGGCGTGAAAAGAAACACAAAAACACAAAAATAGGGAGCCAAAAAAAATTATTTGCTATAGAACTTTTAAAAGAAAACTGGACTCTTTTGCGCCTTCCTTCCTTCGCCTGTTCACTACGATGCATCCGCGGAAATGGAGCACGTCAGCCAAATCCAGGTCGCCTATTGGGTAAGAGCCTACCTCACCAGCTCCGCGATCGTAAACAATAAATAGCCGGCGAATGTTTCCTAAAAGTTTTGTTAAATAATATTCAGATCCACATTTTGTAGCATAATTAGAGATGTGTGGCGAAAATTGCCAAATTTGATAATGCTGAGAGCCAAGCGCCATCTATCGTGTGGTAAACGAAGCAACTACTGCGCGTGCGCAGTAGGGCAGGGCCGACAGTTACTTGAATGGCGGCGGCCGACGAACGTTTATTTTCTTTGTTTTCCTTCCTCTCAAAACTCTGACTGACTGAACGTTTATTTTTCTACGTGTTCTTCCCGCGCGTGCCGACTTCAAGCAGCAAGAAAACAGTACTTAAAACAGACCACGACGAACAAGAACGCTGGATCCACCGTTTCCGACGAAGCGTATAGGCCTAGCAGGCATTCCGACTCGGCGCTGCGTTGCTTCGTCGCAAGACCGTCTGCCTACGATCGGCTGGCGTACTAAATGGAATATGCCCGCGCGACCCTTGTGGACCCTTCCCGTATTATAGTTTGATCACTGACCTCAATTCTAGATTAAGAGGTGAGGTCAATCTCTTCCCCTTGTTTTCCGAGGCAGTGTTGACGAACACTCGTCGAAAAGGGACTCTCGTCGATTCTATCTTGTTTTGTGTGATATAGAGCTGAAATAAACGCCGTATGGATTACCTTCGTAACACGGTATGTACACTTTGTTATTGGTGTAGCAACCGGCTGTTCGGACGAAGGAAGAAGAGGTGGACAAGGGAGAACGAGCTGAGAGGCCGAGCTCAGAACACCGGCAGCTTCCGACCGGACTGGACGTGTATATAATTTTGTAAATAAAGATAGGTAGGGAACTTCTTTCCCTACAATTGGTGACCCGGACGTGATCCGCAAGCCACCTCCGTCATGGCTACCGATGAGGCAACACCGCTGGACATCACCGTCGTCCGCACGCTCAGGCTTCCCCGATTCTGGACAGCGGACCCACAACTTTGGTTCGCGCAAGTGGAGAGCCAATTTACAACCAGCCACATCACCTCGCAAGCACAGAGGTTCCACCATGTGGTAGCGGCGTTGCCTCCCGAAACTGCCGTTGATGTTCGAGACATCATCCTCGAACCACCAACAACTAACCCGTACGACAATTTGAAGGCTGAGCTCATCAAACGCACCTCGGCATCCGAGCATCAACGACTCCAGCGACTACTAACATCTGAAGAGCTGGGCGACCGTACACCATCCCAGCTACTGCGACGTCTTCAACAACTTCTTGGAGAGCGGGCAGCGACATTCGACCCCGCCCTGTTGCGGGAGCTCTTCTTGCAAAGACTTCCTAACAACGTAAGAATGGTTCTTACTTCTGCATCAGGACTCGCATTAGTTCAGCTCGCCCAGTTGGCGGACACCGTGATGGAAGTCGCTGCACCGCAAGTCGCTGCCCCGCAAGTCGCTCCTATTGCGGCCACGCAATCGCATCTGCTCGGTGCACCGGCAAACATCTCTGCCGCTGAAACAACGGAGGATTCTTTTCGCACGGATATCCAACAAGCGATCAAGACCCTCACGGCACAAGTAGCCGCGCTCACTTCACGTTCACGATCGGACCATCGCCAGAGATCCACGTCCCGCCCCCGATACAGTTCGCCCTCCCAAACCCGAGCAGTATCAAGACATTCAGATATTTGTTGGTACCATCGGACCTTCGGCGACCGGGCCCGAAACTGCGTAGGACCATGCTCTGCTTCGGGAAATGCCCGCACCCACCACTAGAGGCGGCGAGTGGTGGGGGTACGCAGCTCAGCCGCTTGTTCTTCATAACAGATCGCGGCTCCGGTTTGCGATTCTTGGTTGACACCGGCGCGGAGGTGAGCGTACTACCAGTTTCTGCCGTTGAAACAAAAGGCAGGCAGACACTTACCACTCTACAAGCTGCCAATAAGACTCCAATCGCTACTTACGGTGAGCACGCTTTGTCCCTCAACATCGGACTGCGTCGAGTATTCCGCTGGGTTTTTCTCGTCGCGGACGTGTCTTATCCTATTATCGGTGCCGATTTTTTACGACATTTTAACCTACTGGTTGATATGCAACGTAAGCGCCTCGTAGATGCTACTACAAATATTGTTACACACCTCGCGTGTAAGCCTGCACGACCTCCGGACAGGCCTAACTGCTCCAGTCCAACTTCACCGTACGAAAGTTTGCTACGAGAGTTCGGGTCTATCACCAGCTCTACCAACGTTCAGCGTCCAGTGAAGCACAATGTTGCCCACCCCATCGTGACTACTGGCCCACCTACTCATCCTCGACCACGTCGGCTTCCACCAGACCGTTTAAAGATCGCGCGAGATGAATTTGATCACATGCTAGAGCTTGGCATCATTCAACCATCATCAAGTCCATGGGCGTCTCCACTGCACATGGTTCCCAAGAAAAACCCTGGTGACTGGAGACCGTGCGGGGACTATCGTGCTCTGAACAACGCCACAGTCCCCGACAGGTACCCACTGCCATACATCGCGGATTTCACGACTTCCCTGTATGGCTCAAAGGTTTTCTCTAAAATAGACCTAGTAAAGGCGTACCACCAGATCCCAGTTGAGCCGAGTGACGTCCCCAAGACGGCCATCATCACACCTTTCGGTTTATTTGAGTATCTTCGCATGCCTTTTGGGTTACGAAATGCAGCTCAAACATTTCAGCGCTTCGTCGACCATGTCATCCGAGGACTTCCCTTCGTCTATGCCTACGTTGACGACCTGTTAATCTACAGCCATGACGATGAAGAACACATTCAGCATCTTCGACTGCTTTTTCAGCGCCTTGATGAGCACGGCCTCATAATCAACAAGGAAAAATGCGAGTTTGGAGTCACGACGTTGAATTTCTTAGGCCATCAAGTGGATCACACAGGAGTCCGTCCACTTCCCGAAAAAGTCGCAGCCATTAAGGTTTTTCCACAACCAACAACCATTCATAAACTCAGAGAGTTCCTGGGTCTCATAAATTTCTATCGGCGTTTTATTCCCAACTGCGCTTCAACACTCCTGCCGCTCACTAATATGCTCAAAGGCGAACACAAGGACTCAACACCGTTAAATTGGAGCGACTCGGCTTTCCAAGCTTTCAGCCGCATAAAAGGAGATCTCGCTAACGCTACCCTACTCGTTCACCCCTGCCAAGAGCTTCCCGTGAGTGTCATGGTTGACGCCTCCAATATTGCTATTGGCGCTGTCCTGCAGCAGCTCTCCGACAGGAACTGGCAGCCCATCGCGTTCTACTCCCGAAAACTCAGCGCAACAGAGTCACGCTATAGTACATTCGGTAGGGAGCTCCTTGCGATTCATCAAGCCATCAAACACTTCCGGCATTTCCTAGAGGGTCGTCATTTCGTCGTTTTCACCGACCACAAACCCTTAACATACGCACTGAAATCAGGGAGCGACAAATTTACTCCCCGTGAGATCCGTCAAATGTCATACATATCAGAATTCACGACAGACATCCGCCATGTCAAAGGCAAAGACAACCTGGCAGCTGATGCGCTCTCGCGGGTTATCGTCACTCCCTGCTGCAGCATGGTACCCATGACAATTGATTTTGAAGCCATGGCCTCAGCTCAGCGAGATGACACCGAGCTTCAACAAGTTCGTTCATCGCACTGCAGCCTGAATTTGCGCGAGGTAGTCTTGCCAATGTGTGGTACACCACTCATCTGCGACCACACCACAGGCGCACCCCGACCTTTAGTACCGCTGCATTTCCGTCGTCAAGTTTTTGACTCCCTACACTCCATGGCACACCCTGGAGTTCGAGCAACTCAGCGGTTAATCACTGAACGCTTTGTATGGCCGGGTGTGAACAAGGACGTACGAAACTGGACTCGCTCTTGTCTGGCCTGCCAGCGGTCTAAAACTCAACGTCATACGTCATCACCATACGATGCTTTCCCAACACCGACAGCGCGCTTCGATGCCGTACACCTAGACATTGTGGGTCCTCTCCCAACATCTGGTGGAAACACATATATACTGACATGCATTGATCGCTTCACGCGCTGGCCTGAAGCATTTCCCATTCCTAACATCACCGCCGAAACCACGGCACGGACATTCGTCGAAGGTTGGATTGCTTGATTTGGTGTGCCTTCATCGGTTACCACCGACCGAGGGAGACAGTTCGAGTCCGCTTTATTCCGAGAGCTCATGAGACTACTAGGATGCTCGCGTATTCGGACCACGTCATACCACCCCATGGCTAACGGCATCGTAGAGCGCTTCCATCGCACGCTCAAGGCTTCTCTAATAGCACACGATGACCGTGTTCATTGGAGCGTCCACCTCCCATTGGTTCTTTTGGGACTCCGGACCGCTTTCAAAGAAGATATCGGTTGTAGTGCTGCCCAGCTCGTATATGGCGCACCCCTTCGCCTTCCAGGGGAATTGATCATCCCGGCTGATCACGGCACCAATAGCGATCCCGCCAGCTACGCCACGCAACTCACGACGGCTATGCGGGCCCTCCGCGCGACCCCTCCTCGTCCACAACAGCGTAAATCGATATACGTTTCGACTGAGCTCGCCCACTGCACTCACGTATTCGTCCGCCACGATGCAAGTCGCCAATCTCTACAACATCCGTACGACGGCCCATTCAGAGTAATTGATCGTCGGGACAAATATTTTCTTCTTGATCTAAAGGGACGAAAAGACACCGTGTCAATCGATCGCCTCAAGCCAGCCTACCTTGACACTCCTGTTGCTTCTACACCTCCAACCACCTCGCTTGAATCAAGGACATGCACACCGGGAATTTCGAAGGACATACACAAACACTTATCCCTACTACTACCGCGAATGGTTTCCGGTAACAAGCCACAGAGGCATCCTGACCAGCCAAAACGCCATGTCACGTGGGCGCCTCTACCACCACAACTCGGCGTTTTCCAACGACCTCCTTGTTGGAGGGGGAGTACCTGTAGCAACCGGCTGTTCGGACGAAGGAAGAAGAGGTGGACAAGGGAGAACGAGCTGAGAGGCCGAGCTCAGAACACCGGCAGCTTCCGACCGGACTGGACGTGTATATAATTTTGTAAATAAAGATAGGTAGGGAACTTCTTTCCCTACATTGGTATGCCATTTTTATTCTGACAGACTGCACGTCACTGTCGAGCTATAACAGTTCGTGGAAGGTATACGTACAACCCCGGTCCAACCTTTCTTTGCCGAGTGTCGCGTCAGTATCGAGTTGCAATCGTAAAAGAACAATCCCGAAGCGCTTACAAACAGCGCGAATACAGCACTTCCATCGAACGCGCGCGTCCGCTCCGAGTGTAAACAGGTATTTACGTGGCTCTTGCTGACACTCGTAGTTCAAACGTATCTTTTTTAACGTCGGCTCGCTCCTGCATCTCCGAGGCCGCGAAAAACGCCATCTACGTCGCTTTGCAAACGACTGACACGGGCCGGCCCTTCTGCCAACAATGACAGGGTGGTTGACTTCTGGAGTCTTCACCGGAAGACTCGCTGCACTTCCCAACAGGCATGCCGGCGTATGGGATTAGTCCCATGCTGTCGCTGTAGCGCAACATATTGAATTTCGCTCAGCTGCGATGCGGCGATGAGAGGCGCCGATTCAGGAAATACGTCGGTGACATCAGCGCAGTAAAACCTACCGGCGCACCCCAACTCGTTGCCGCTAACACTCCCATTCTCCTATTGCCGAGAGAACTTCCGGTTCCGGAAACGGTTTACGTCACGGCTTGTTTTGCGGTCAGTTGGAGAGAATGAAAAAGTCGATATTTCAATAATTTTTTGTGTAGAAGTTAATAAACCGAGACGAAAACGGATGCCTGTTCGGCATTCAGTGAACATTGACGGTTTAATGTAGAAGTTATCTGGAAAAAGTAAAAAGGTCATTTCATGGTCCCTTTAAGAGCCACCGAGGTGGTTTTTTGAAACAAAATATAGTTGAACCATTCCGACAAGCATAGTTTGATATCGTAAATGATTTATGCAAGTGATAAAAACATTAAAATGTTTTTGCATACGTGGCGGAATCTGAAATGGCAGAATGCATTTCATGGCGCCCATTTCATTTGGATCGCGTCGGGCATGTGTACCGACGCACACTAGAACGCGCGCAAAAGTAGCTGTGGTGCACCCGCAGCCTCGCGCTTGTTGTTCTCACATCTCTGGCTCGCTCACTGCGGGCATCCAGGCATCTGACACCCTGACATCTGGCGCTTTTTCTGTTCCAAGCGGCACACGACGGAAAATGCACATCAAGCTGTTCTTGAACACGTGTCGCCATCTGTACTTTATATTAAGAAACTACAATTCGCCGTAACTGAATGGGAAAAGTTTGAGGTCTTATAACATTCTTAACGTGTATATATGGAAGTTCTGGAAAATGTAATATCGAAGGATGCTTCATAGTTTAATGTCTCGTTATTTTGATTAGTTGACGTCATTCCGTTTTTATAGCGCCATAAAATATTAAAATTTTAAACTTTATTTTTTATTTTAGAATATACATTATCTGTACAATTCGTTGCTTACTTTTTTTATTTTATTACATCTAACCGAACGCTCACGTAAAATATCGTGGACGATGGGACGTTATAACTCGAAAAATAATTTTTTCAATATTAGAGACTGTGGTCTATTAAAAGCCAAATAATTAGCTAACAACTAAAAATAATCGTGATATCAAGACATTAAAGCATTGTTGAGAAACTGCTCTTTAATTTGACACTAACTTTATAATTGTAAGATGCATAGAAAGAAAGTTATAAGCCGCCGGAAAAGCACCAAAACGTCATGCCCGGTGGGGTTGCACCTTAAAGGGATATTGAACCGAAATTTAGATTTCGCAAAGTAAGGCTGCAGAAGTGTTGAACGGGACGCTACAAACTCCCAAACATCACTCGTACATCGATATTTCAAACGGATGGCCGTACGTTTGGAAAAGAAGGGCGCGATCAAGCGAGTTCTTTGATGTAACTGTCCTCCGGGAGAGTTTGAGAATGAGGGGAAGCTGCCTCGCTTCTCTCCTCCTCGCTTCGGTTCACCAGCTTGAAGGAACGTAGCGAGGAGGAGAGGGAAATGGAATCGTGAAGTGCCTTGTCTCGTCAGCCTCGTCGG